CTACATATCACTGAGACAGGGAGGTGAAATTTTCCTGCTTTCAGTCTAATTGTCTTTGACAATTGCAGTGCCTAGTGCTACACTGCTTGTGTTGTATTTAAAAACAGGGGAAAGAGGAGAGACTTGTTCATTAAAGATGCAGTATCCCTGGTTCACACAAATGCATCTGGCAGGTTCAAAATCGAATGTCAACCAGAGGTCTTAGCAGAGTGTGAGCTTCAGTTCATGTGTTGGTTAGTCACAAGTACAGCTGGTTTTGAATTCTGAAATACTAATAGCTCCATGTTTGCTAATGTGCTTCGTATGAAAATTGGCAAGTGATTCAACAACCGAAGGCTTTACTTTTCAAAAGATAAAACCATATTAAAACACTTTGAGCTGTCGAGTGGTCATGTGTATCTGCACATGTGAAGAAAGGAAGTAACCAGTTGCTTCTGAATAATGTAAAATGGATGTTAAAGTTCAAATAGGTGGTGGTGAAAACAGCACACACATACACACACACAAACACACATGCTAATTTTATATATATATGTATATATATATAATATATATACATATATATATATTAGAACTTTACCTTAGTGGCCTCGATAGTTCAACAAACTGTGTCCCTTTCACTTCGCAAAATACAGTTTCAGTGATCACAATAGCCAGTTCTTGTTAAGAAACATGAGAATGGGATTATAGAAGCATCTTTCTGTTGGGAGTTGGACACATTTCTAGAGAAACATTCTAAATGCCTCTAAAATATATTTTCCAACCCACAAATATATGTAAATTTACAAAGACCTATTGTAGGAGTTAATTTGGACTTTTTTGGATGTATTCTTCTGAAAACTGCATAGCCAAGTACTATGCAGCCCTTGTAAATTGACCTTGCTATTTTACATCGCATAGCCTCTGGATAGCTTTTATCACTTGCCCAGATGGTGTTTGGCCTATGTATTTTAGTGGAATGGTTTATTTTCTCCTTGATAGGTTTCAAATGCACAAGAAAACATTATACCCGTCTATCTGCATTTGAGTAGAATACAAACTGACTAATAGATAAACATTCTGTGTGAAAGTAAATAGCTTTAAAGTATACTGCCTTCACATTCCATTGATCAGCTCAGTCAGCAAAGTTTTCCATATTGTCACTAATGTTCTAAATATTTTGGTGAGAGGCATGCCAGGAGAGTAGGGTATTTCCATTTGTGTCACACATAAGGTCATTATGAACTACCTCTTGAATTTCTATTGATCCTTCTACTGAAGTGGTTTCCTTCACTTCCTTTTTGTTCCCGTTGGAAATGTTACTGCAGTTATGAAGAAGAGAATGAGGGAGTGTTAAGTGGACTGGCTCAAATCCCCTGGCCAGACGGCAAGGGATTTGGACTGGCTCATTACCTTACCTTCATTAGTAGCCTTCTCCAAATTCTTAGCAGTCAAAAAGAGGCCAAGAGTACGAAGCCCGCTTACTCAGTTGTACGATCACTGATTGTGCACATTCACTTCTCAGGATGTGGCACCCCACCCCCACCCCAAGCTCCAGAAGGGATGGTCAGAAAAGAGCTCATTATTAGGCTAGTCCATAGAAGAGCTCATAATGCTGCCATGCAGAATCAAAGAATCACAGGAGAGCACTATCTACTCAGAGGTCAGCCTTATCTCCCCCAACAGATCTTCATTTCTTCAGCATGCCCAATTTCCTAAGAGATCAAATCCAAGAATTCATGAGGCTAAATGAAATTCACACAAGACTTCAGCTTCTGCCTAAATACATGGATCTCTGACGACTCATCTCTCAAAGTAATTTTTAAGTCACTTAAAGCTAAAAGCCAATATGTATGACTTCAATTTATTTTCAGTTTTATAAATGAGTGTAAAACAACAGTGCAGTCATATTTGGCATTAACTCTTACTAGCCACAAAAATGTGGGTCAATATTGGATTTTCCAGAGTTGTCTAAATAAGACTGGGTTTGTCAAAACTTGCCAGTTGCTTTCAAGTGAACACAGCATGTTGGCGGAAATGAAATGTAATGTCTAAGAGACAGAAAATAGGTCAGCACTGTGCAAAAGTAAACTTGTCAGCGAGATCAATATGAACCTACAAGTTAATGGGGATATTAGAATTTCCTTACAATAAGAGATGTGCAGGGTACAGCCAGAACACGATTATAGCATTTATTCACTCGTGAAAAGCAGAGGACGTATTTAAATATTATTTTTTGTATCCTTAATGAAAGGCACTGCTTTTTAATATGGAATATTTATATATAAGCACAGTTTTAATTGATAGACTATCACAGTAAATTAAATTTTGGTTCATTTGCTCAGTTTTTTGCAACACGAAAAATACGAAAAAAGGGGAGTAATGATCAAGCGTCAGAAAATTTCAGAAATACGATGAGGTCCTTCATTAGCTTTCTCTATGTTAAGTGTTTCAGAGAATTTGACATTGTGAATGAAATCAGTCAAAATTTTTGAAGGAAAAAAAACAATAACAGAAAGAGCTTTCTTGGGGCTTCTCATTGCATTTATTTAAATTTTTAAAAAATGTACATCACTTTTTGAATACATAAAATGCCAGTGCTTTGCAACAGTTTTGTTACTGCATCTCTCAACTAAAAAAAAAAGGAAGGAAAAAAAAAAAGCAGGAAAAATACATTCAAAAAGCCAGGCTGTTCTGCTTATGCACGGGCAGTGGCTTTGGAAAGCTACGGCCTACACTGTCTGTTCAGAGACATTGCCGAACATCAGTTAGCTATCAATGAAAAGTTGCACATAAAGCATTAAAGGATACAAAGAACAACTTGGAGGGGAGCAGGAGAAGAATGGGAAAGTAAGAAAAATGCCACATATTCTGGGGTGGGGGTGGACTCAGGCAGAAGCAAGCATGAAGACCGATGTTTTTGGAAATCAGATTTTTGGGAAAAGGGAGAAAACAAAGTAACGTGTTTGACAAGATAGAGTTGTGTGTGTGTGCGCGTGTGTGCGTCCACTTCCAATTTTCTATTTTACTCTCCAAGAGAAATATAACAAAACTGAGGTAGAAATGAATGTGGGAGCACTATAGCCCAGAAGATTTCAAAATGAGAAGCAAAATTGCACTGAGAAGAGAGGAGTCAAAAAGGAGAGGAGATGTAGATGTTCTTTGTGGATATAGAGAAGTTGGTTGGTTGGTTTTTCTATTTGTTTGTTTGTTTGTTTTTGCTTGCTATCTTCTGCATTCTGTCAAACATCATGGCAAGCCTATAAGCTAGATTAGTGAATAGGAGGACACCATTCCCAGCAGTTTTAAGAGAGAACTCGCAAACCACCACCACCACCACCACCACCACCACCACCAACTATGCAGTAAAAGGCAGTCCTAGATTTTAGGTACTGTGACTGTCAGGGTCCTAAGCAGGTCTTGTGGCCGAGTGTTCTAGACACTAACATGAACTGAATAAGTAGCTTTCCATTAACCAGTGTACCTTTTAAGAACATTTTCACTTCATTATCAAGGAGCAATGTACGAAGAACTCTTGCAGTTTTTGACATAAAGAATTATTCTGCTCTGGTTAATTCCCCATAATTAGTAAAAGAATCTTTTTTTTTTTTAAATCCTTCCATTTCTACTTTAAATTGTAAATATTCAGTTGTATCACACATCAGTATTTTTTCCGGATACATTCAAAGTAATTTTCCTTGCTATTTTCCAATTGTTGAGGTAAACATACATTTTTAATATAAAGTAACATTGAAGCCTATCCCATTACTCTCAGCAGTACATAGTGCTTTCAACACATTCCTTTGAGGTACTGTACAAATCACAATCGCTTTCCTGAGTTTTTGCAGACAAGAACATTAAAAGAAATGAACTGCAGAAATTAAGGTCCAGATTACCGTTACCCTGTTTTACCTGTTCTTAGCTTAATACTGCAGAACAGACAGGATTGAGGAATACTGTTGCTCTTAAAATGGCAAAAATCTGGTTTTCTGTCTTCACACAACCGTTCATCTCTTTAGTCCAATAATGTTTGAAGTTAAAGCTCTTTATATTAGCACATGCCACCAATGTAATTGTGAGGCAAACAAAAAATAAAGCACCACTCCAGGCACTTGACAGCAACTAAATCTCGAGAACAGCAGAATGGAATCAACACACGAGGTTCATGTCCTTCTGAAATCAACACACTTGCACCTTGCTCCTTGGTGAGTGTTGTCTAGCTTGAACTGAACTGAGCATCAACAGATGCTTTCTGTCCTCTGGGGCTCTCAAATCAGAAGCTCTCATTTGATGCGTTTTTTTTCCTCCAAATCTACCCTGACTCTAAAGATGCAACTCAATCGTCATCTTCCCCGGTACCCTTTGTGATTTAAACACTACTGGAAAGGGGCTCTAGACCCTATGTAGCAGGTTTTATGCGTGTGTGCCAACATTCATTACATTTTTTTTTTAAGAAGTTATCACTGACTGCAACCAAACATTTTGTTCCATTCAACATACATATCAAGCTCTTTTTGAGATATGCTAGGCTGAATCTTGCAGAAAGCATTTTCAAAGTCTTGATATGTAACGGGCCTCAACTGGCTGGGCATGATGGCTGAAAGGTCTGTGGCTGGTATGGCATGGAGGGGGCCCACCACTGCTTCCTGACACAAATGAGCCACGTCTAGTCCAGAAAAGCCTTCTGTGCGCTGGACGAGCAGTGCAAACTCCTTGTCATTGAGACAGTAATTGTGCTGTGAGAGCAGTTGTACCATTATCTGGTGCCTCGCTGTGCTGTCAGGAAGTGGGATTAAAAGTCGTTTCATGAAGTATCTCCGAAGAGATTCATCTATTTCTTCTGGTTTACTGGTGGCACAAATTACTACGATTTGGTCCTCAGCTGAAGTCAGGACAGTGTCCAGCTGCATCAGAAATTCCGTTCTCATCCGATTGACTGGACTGTGTTCCTCGCTCACTTGAGAGGAGAGAAGCATGTCAATGTCACTGACAAAAATCACCGAGGGTTGGCGACACCTGGCCACGAGAAAAGAGGCGTGGATAATTTTTTCTGCTTCTCCTAACCACTTGGCAATGAGTCCAGAACCGGCGATTTTGAAAAATGTGGCCCCCAGCTGACTAGCTATGCATCGGCCCAATAATGTTTTGCCTGTTCCCCGAGGTCCAAATAAAAGGATGCTCCGAGGTGAGGCCGTCAGTCCACTGAATGCATCTGACCTCAACACTGGCCATAAAACCTCCTCTTTAATGACAGCCTTTACCAGGTCGAGACCAGCAATGTCACTCCAGTCCACCGGTGGTCCTTGGGTGATAATCTCATTGGTTACCAGGTCAATGAGGTGCGTGTCAGTGTTCTTCAGTTGCTCGTCCACAGAGTGGTTGGATGAGGTAGCTGCACGGAGTCCAGGGCCTTGCATTGGGTGAGAGAGGAGCTGCCTGTGCTCGTCCCCATGCTCACTCATTACTGGCGACGTGTACTTCCCAAAGGATTCACTGGATCTTGATCCCAATGAATTTTTAGCAGTACTATAGGAAGGAGGGGTCAGAGCCCTACTGGACTGGCTGCTGAATTTCCTTTGCTGTTCAGAGGACATTAGCTGCTTCGTTGGCTTAAATGCTAAGGATGATGTTTCAGCATTTCTGTCAAAGCCATTCCCTCGATTTGAGTTTGAAATGCTGTTGTCGGGCATTCTGTACATGGGACTCTGTGTAGATCTCTGTTGGCCATAGCTGTAATTTCCATAACTGGAGTCCATATCTCCCTGCCCTGCCATATAGAAAGCTTTCCTTTTAAGGGAACTTGCCGAACTGTTTGTCAGAGCTGAGGGTGCAATGGGTGTCAAACCATGACCCTGGTAGGTGTAGCCAGGAACAGTGGTGGGGGGCAGAGGGGTAGGAGCAGGGATTCCTGAAGGCAGGTACGCTGAAGGAGGAGGAGGTGCGCCACCAGGGCTGTACCCGGATCCCACAGCAGTCTGAGGAGGATAGCTAGCGGAGGGATAGCTGTAACTGGGGAGGTTAGAAGTCCCATTGTAGCCTGGGACCAGGGCTGGTGGTGGAGGTGGCGGCGGCGGCGGCTGGAGGAGCCCAGAGCTATGCAGAGGAGAAGGATGAGGCGAGGGAAGTGCAGGTGCGGGCTGGCTACTGTAAGTAGAATGCAAATACGATCCGTTGTATCCCGGGGCATATTCCTGAGACGGGAGCCCTGCGTGGAGACTAGGTACGGTGTGGCTCCCGCAGGTACTACTTGAATAACTCGGTTCTGTCAGGTTGCTGGCCACCCCAGGAGAGCTCCCGATACTCGCAGAGACATCTGCTGGAGGGAGGGCTGAACTGACTCCAGCTTTGCTGGCAGCGATAACATCCGGCACACAGTTCATGGGATAAACAGCTTCGGAATTCAAGGAAGGCTGCCAGGGTTCGCTTTCATTTTTCCGACCGTTCACGAGGCCCGATGGGGCATCGGCGTAGTTGCTGAGTACAGGTCGGTCCACGGGGCCTTCTAAAATGCCAGAATACTTCTCTGCATATTTTTTGAGTAGGTTGGATGCAGTCAGAGCAGAAATGTCATCATTTGCCCAGGCGTACTGATAGGTGCGCTGCAAATGACCTCTGTAGGCTTCCACTTTGTGGGCAGGAGACCGAGTGGTTGAGGTGATGTCAAAGTGCTGTTCTGGCCACTGGGCATGCTCCGGCGTCCACTGCATCTTCAAGCCTGCGGATTTGGGGGGACGAAAGTTAATTTATTGAGATACTTGTCAGAAGTGGGTAAGCTTTTCCCTACCGTCTTTGGCTACCTATTATCTTCCATTAATGATAGAGCCGCTACAAGGAATTCCCACAGTGTGTGATACCCACTGGGACCTGTACAGTACGTACACTTTAAAACGGACTGGATTTCAGTCCTGTATAAAAAGTAAACTGAATTTAAACAAAAACTCTGTAGAAGACCTCATTCTTTGTTCATTTTTAAGTAATGAGCAATCGATTTCTGTTAAGCCTGTCGAGTTCCTCGCTGCACACACACAGGAACACATATATATGTACACACACATTTCTGTCAAATTAGAATTCGATAATAGGTCCTTACAATGAAATATGCATATCTTTTAACTATCGGGCACGTGATAGTATTAACATGTGCAATATCTAGCCATCCTCTCTCTTCACATCAGAGTTTCTGTTTTATATCTTAACCAATATAGAAATGAGACACAGCTGACAGATCACATCTAGGACCCCTCTCTTATTTGGTACTGAACACCTAGTTAGCACAGTATAATGCTCCCTGCGCAGAACAATATGACACAGACATAGCAGGTCATTCCATAATCCAACTCTCATCTAAAGTGCTCCACGACAGTTTCAAATCTGCTTCGTGGAGTGCAGCAAAGCAATCTCCCAGGCAGCGCTCCATCGCTTTCATCGCACAAAGCCTACAACTCGGTATGAATTACAACTGGCTCCTTTCTGCCTCTCAGTTCTGTTGTTGAGTCTCTGAAAAAAAAAAAAAACAAGCATCACTTGTCTGTCGGTCTTCCAGCTGGCATTCTCCCTCCATTCCCTATAATCCTTCCCTCTGCTTTACAGCCTCCAAGTACTAAGAGGGGAGACTACATATGCATATATAGACAGATAGATATACACACACACACATATATAATATCTAGATGTATATCTATTATGTGTGTGTGTATATCTATCTATCTGTATATGGGGGGGAGAAGAAGTCAAGAAAGGAAGGAAGGAGGGGAGGCAGGCAGGCAGGGAGGGAGGAAACAGGTGAAAGGGAGTGTAAGAATAGAGAAGAGGGAGAGAATCTCTCTTTACATTTCTGTGGGAAGCAGTGTGTGTGGCATAAACTCAAGGAGCACAGCTAGATAATGAGATGCTATGGGTAATGCTATCATCTGCTAGATTACTAACCAACCGAAGCAAGGTGACTTAAGTAGCAAACTGTAAAACAAGAGTCTTTTCTCAGTTAGAATCAGAGAATCATTTGAATTTTACAGTTTAAAGAGACCTTAGAAATTACCTTATTGCACAGATTAGGGAACCAGTACCCAAAGGGCTTTAGAACATACCCTGGAGGACTCGCCGTATACTTAGTTACAGTCGAGCACGGGAACACTGTTTTGTCTCCCAGCTCATGGCTCACCTCATTCTAATCTCTGCTTGGTTCGAACACTTTGGATTCCAGTATGGCTATATTAAGTAGGCCTCCTTCAGCTCTTCTGGATTACCCAAAGTGAATTTTGTAAACTGCCTTATGCCCCGTGGCAGAGATTCCTTGATAAGGAGGAGGCCTGGTCTAAATGAAGCATCAGCTCCCTTCTGAATGACTGCAGTCGGTTTTGACAGCTCCTACACCCTCCTGCCTTCCTCCTCCAACCCCTTTAGCTCTTCATTCCCTGACTCTGGCTTCTGACACCGCCAGCTTTGACTTCCTGAGCTAAACTGAACACAGCCCAGAGTTTGGTAACAGAATGGCATGTTGATTCCCTCCTGACTCCCTCTTCCTTGTTTGCAAAACCACTGCACCAGACACTGGAAGTTAATTAGCAGGATGATGCTGTGCTAATTGTGTTAATTTACAAGGTTTTAGTCAAAGAGAATCATGCCAGGGCTGGCACTGCTGTCATGCTTCTGACTTAATGATTAAGAAATACTGAAAACAAGGTGGGAAGGATTGCAGTAATTACACAATAAATGAATAAAGCAACAGGATTCATTTGCAAATATATTTTACTGTAGTGGTACTCATTTGCATTTGGATTTTTAAAAAGGATCCATGTAGATATTCATTTGCAAATCACCATCTCAGTTAAATTAAGTCTGAATGCTGCACAGTATAACTTAATCAAGCTATTTTTTTAAAATAAAAATACAAAAGACCTTATTTCTCTTGGTTACGCAACAGATTCTTTCTTCTCTTTCCTATCCCTTACTCCTCCCAAATCTTCATATGTTTTTCTTTGAAAACTCTATTTAAAAAAAAAATAATCTCATCAATTGGAAAAAAGAAATTGTAAAATCCTCACGAAGTAAAGCTTGTGTCATTCCAGTCTGAGAAACTGGGGATGAGTTCTAGGAGGAACTAAAGTGATATTCTCAATTGTGTCTGCTTGCTCAATCATTCCTTTTGAAGGGGCGGGGGGGGGGGCGTGGAACACATCGCAGAATGGGTGAAATGACCGAAACCACACTTAAAGGGGAAAAGATGCAATTTTAATGAAGCAGCATTTCAGGAATCATACTTTCATTAAATTCAACTGGAAATTATTAAGAGCAAATCACCAGGAACCAATCGCAAGTAATCAGTATCTAAATTCTTTCAGTGTCATGGGATTTACTTCAAGCCTTATACAAAGGAAAGAATATTAATGTGGCTGTAATGTAGAACTGTCTAAAAGACCTACAAATTCATTAGTCCTGTAAATTATTTCCAGGGAATTTCTATTAGGGTTTTTTTCTTTAAAAGATTATCAAATACAGAGTTGAGAAAATAAGAATGCACATATGCTCTGAGTGGAAGTTTGATTAGATTGTTACAGAAGAAACATGAATAAATGTCTTGAAAGGAAGCTTCCAAAAATGTTCTGGGAGTCGCAGAAAATGGAATTGACCACAAACACAACATAACACACACACAGATACACACACACACACACACAACGGCATGGCTTCCTTTCAGTTAGCTGAGCTAAGCCATCCTTGGCATTAGTTAACATACATGACAAACATGGTTAAAAGCCCACTGAAAAAAATGAAACTGCCCTAGATTTAGAATAATTATTTGAAAAAACAAACAAAAAAAGGCAACCTTCCCCCTTATTGGCTTAAAATTTCTTCTGATAAGTTAATCGTTTATAAAAAGTGTGCAAAAAATTAGTTTTAGTAAGTTATAATCACTGTAAAAGACAGGAACGTAAAGTTGACATTAAAAAGGTTGGTCATTTTCACTGGGTATGTCCGTGGAGTTTAACTCTAGCAAAACTAATACATTTCCTAAGATTTCTATTTCCTCTGAAATTAAGCAAAGAGCCTATCAAAATTATTTACTTGGGACAATTACTGGATAGACCGTTGCCTTTTAATTCTCGTGCTATTTTTGGAGGTGCTTACCAAGATAATTGAAAGTTTATTTATTGATGCATACTAACTAACAGTAACCTTAGCAGGGCTGCCAAAGGCAAGACAGAGCTTTGATTAAATAACCTTAAGGGAACAGAATTATTCACATCCCTTGGAACACGAGTACTTACCCCGTGTTTTGAAATCATTTATGTTACTTGAAAGCATCAGTTACTAGTTAAGCATAAGCTAGTTCTTATTATTAGTATGAGTTGAAGAAGCTGGCGTTTAGGAGATTGTCCTGGCCTTGGGAGCACGGAGAGCTTTCTCATCAGTTTCTTGAATTTTAATGCTAATTGGAAGGAGAACCAAACTTCTTGTTGTTGTTATTCTGTTTATTGCTGGTGATATTTCTGGTGTGGAATAGAAGAAAAATGTAGAGCCAAATGTTCTTTGAACAAAAAATCATGCTCCGTTTGACTGCACTGCTGTTCTCGACGTGTCGTAAGCAGTACAGGCCTGTCACTTAACTTGGCACCCAAATAATAAGATAGGCTTTAAGAACAGCTTTTGTATGGTTTCTCTCTGGAATGCGCAGAGCTAAATCTCAGAAACAATGCTATTTTAACACTATTAAAAACATGACTCCAGAACAATAACTTCCGTGGCTGTTTAGAAATAGCTTAAATAGGTACAATAAAAATTCAGGAAACAGTGGAAAGTAAGAAAAATAGTTCTTAAAGATAATTGAAGAATTGTTCCAAAACATCAATTTTTATTTTTGAAAGGATCAGGAAATTCTTAATATAGCCAGCAAATTTTACAATGCAATGTGTTTGTTTTTAAAATATGTAATTTAATCAAAAATTGCTTTTAAGAGATGTTAACATAAGTATTATACCAGAATGATAGGGACTACTGTACAAAGCCTGAGTATTCTGTTATTTCATTGCCTTAGGATGAAGTTATGTATCTATAACTGAACAAGTCTTTATTTCCCATAAAACCGGACAATTTGGATAACATTTCCCTTTCTTATCATTTCTGACCACTTTATAACTTGGGTTTAATTACTAAACAGTTGCTGCCTCATTGCTTTACTTGCTCCGTTTTGTTCTTTAACTATTTTGAAACAACACAACTGTGACATCCTACGAAGTTCTGTCCTAGCTTCCAAATGATGAAGCTGTTACACAGAAAAATGAAGGATATAAAAACAACTTGCAGAATGGGAGGAAATTGGAAAGAAGAGACTAAGCCTCTGGAATCTATTTTTAGCACACATTCCTCGAAATATTAATCTAAGTCCCTCACTACCCCTACCCCCACCCCTACCGAACACCCCAATGCTGCTCAGCAGTTCATCAGGTCTAAAAAAGCTGTTCTCTTCTACAAGGTTCCCATAGGGTAATTCTGGCTGATAGGTACTCTGGCTTCATCTGTAGGTTTTCTTACACTTCCTAAGGGCAGGGACCTGAGGCAAACAGCCGCAGGCCTGGAAGGCTTGCTTGCGGAGGATAGCTGCACAGTGCTCACACAGGCCTGCACGACATCACTGCACCTGTTACACTCCTTTGGGCCACTGTACCTCTGAACTTTTCATTATTATTTATTTAAATATATTTTTGAAAAATCTAATAG